CTCCAAGGCTGGACACCCCACCGCTCTCCCGCATCCGCTGCGGGCGCAGATGTCATTAGATATTGGGGAAAGAGACAGCTATTTTGTTGTATTGTTTGAATACTGTGGTATCAGAGTCCTTTTAGATAATAAATGTCGTCTTCGGGGATGGCTATAGCAGTTTCACTTGTGGCTGTTGCCCTGAAAAGCGGCATGAGAATCTCCAACAAAATACTAAGACAAAGGAATAGGGAATAGATATTGGTAATGGAGGGCTAGGAGGTTACACAGTGAATCTGCTATTTTGTTGTATTGTTTGAATACTGTGGTATCAGAGTCCTTTTAGATAATAAATGTCGTCTTCGGGGATGGCTATAGCAGTTTCACTTGTGGCTGTTGCCCTGAAAAGCGGCATGAGAATCTCCAACAAAATACTAAGACAAAGGAATAGGGAATAGATATTGGTAATGGAGGGCTAGGAGGTTACACAGTGAATCTTGAGATATTGGGTAAAGGAAGGGACAGGTGAAAACTACAGTAACCAGAGAGCATGGCCAGGGTGGAGATTAAGATTTGTAAAATTAATCAAGGCTGAAATATTTGGAAGTATCCTCTAGCTATGGCATGGGGAGTTAACCAGCCCAGAGAGTTGCTGGGGATGGGCAGAGGTGGAGCAGGAGGTTGGCACATGCCCCAGCTGAGGCAGCGCAGGCCCAGGAACAACCCTCCCCTTCGTGCTCAGGGCGCTTGGTCGCGTGTCCCACACCCTTGGATCTGCGCCCACCGGGGCTGGTTGCTCTTCCATGCAGCCACGGGAAAAGGAGTTACTGTACTGGAGAAATTCGTCCTCCACTCACATCACCCCACCTCTGTAAATTCTCTTTAATGTAGGTCTGCAATGGACACCATCATTTTTTGTAACTTACATCTTGAAATAAATGTGGAGGATGTGAGAAGACTGCAATGTGCAATCCTGTTTTCTGGGTTGTAACACAGAGTTAAGACCGCAGTGGTTATTCTGGGATATTTTTATGGGGGCTTGTAACTAATGCTAGCGAAGATGTTTGTTCATCAGCGGGCCCCAGCCTAGGAAGACACCAAGCGTGTCTCACTACTGCTACTCAGCAGAACACTGAAATACATGCAATGCTCCAGCTTCTTATCTTTAAACATCTACTATCATCTTCCCCAAAAGCCATCAGTCCCAATAGCCAGCTGATATATTGCCTTGACCTTTTCCAAAAAGCCCCTCAAAACAGCCCCAGGCTCTACTCGCTCTCTAAGTAACTGAATTACGGGTAATCTAATGAAGTTCTCTGGAGTGAGAAGCAGTCCCCACCCTCTGCCTTTACAGCCCATCTTGGCAATTTTATGGTAAACACCACCAAAACGTAATGAGGGGTTGTGAACACTCACTTGAGGCCTTCTTCTTCTTTCTATGCGCCCACGTTGCAGTATTTAGTGGTTTCGTGCCAGCAGCCCCTTTCCCAGACCAGGGAATATCCCATGCTGTGGGGGTTGACAAGGTGGCCGTGCAGCCCTTGTGGCTTGTCCTGTGCTGCTCACACGCTTGGTGGCCATGACCCAGAGCAGGGCCGTGCCAGTCCGCAGCAGAGCTGGGTCTGTACAAGCAAGGGGGAAGCATTGCAGGCCAGTGGCTGTGGCTGCTGGTGGGTAGAGGACAGGAATATTAACAGCCCTGCTGCATTAATCTATACTCAAAATACTTGTTAATAGACTGAAAGAGATTTTGCAGTAGCAGTGTTAGTGGGCAAGACAAAATACATCTTGGGTTTGGTTTTTCTTTTTTTTTTTTCTTTGACAGTTCTTAATTTGCTTCTTGTTTTACGCATTCATAATAGTAAAAATATCTCCCAGTGACAACACTGAACTGCAAAGCTTCTCCTCTTCCAACCTAGTTTTAAAATCTTAAAAGAAATTTGCCTGTCATATTCTGACATGACACATCTCGTCCTGCTGGAGATGTCTTAGCAATCTAACAAGATGAAAGTGGTTCTTTTAATGAGCTCCGAAGAAAGAGGCAAATCTGCTCCCCAAATGCAGCCAGGGATCTGCTTTGTTTTCTGTTTGGCTTGGCTAACCAAGCAGTTGTAAGAGGCATTAGACTGAGTCATGACAAATGAATATAAAAGGTTGTGGTTCTCCTCTTCAGTCTGGCCAGGAGACAGCTCACACCTGAGCATGAACCCTTATCCAGGGACGACTGCCCATGGAAATGGGGGGGAAAAGAGGGAAAGTGAGGGAGGCAAAGGCACTTTCTTGGCTCTTCTACTTGATCTGGGCAGGAGGAAGAGTGAAATAAAGAACTGATTCAGCATGAGCCAAGGCAACAGCAGGTTGATGGTCACTCAGAGAGGAAGAACCAGGCAGTAAATAAAGTCTTACAGGGTCGTGATTAGTTACCTGTGATCAAGTGAGTTTCATCCAGCCCCTTTGCAGAGTTAAAGCCTGTCCCTGCAAGCAGTCAAGCTTCCCAGTAACTGCTGCGTTTGCAGGAGACAAAATCATGAGTCCATTGGAGCTGCTGGTTTGACACCCCAGAAAGCCCAACGCAAGCACAGAGTTTGGTTTTGCAGATTTCTGAACTCCTTCACCTCCTGCTCAAGTCACGAGAAAGGTCAAAAGTTTTTCTTACAACGGCAATTTACAGCACAGATGGGGAAAGAATAATCTATCCTATAGGCTCCAAAATCCACGGTTAAACTGTGAGTGTGACTGGGTGCAGAAGACAGAATTTGATCCTGGATTCTTAAGAAAGACTAAAAGAGGAGAGGGTCTGGCAAAAGAGAACCGTCAACATTTCTCAGAGACATTCAGAATCACAGGGCCAGGGGATTTGAAGAGTTTTGCCACCCTTTCTGGTGGCTTTACAAATCTCATGAGATTTATGGTTGCTTTAGAGCTTGAAATTGCTTCCATTTGGCCTGGAATTGCATAATGAGTGGGCAGCAAGCTCTGTTTTTAGGGCATTCTTTCCTTATTTCTTTGTTGTTGCTTTTAAAATAAATCATCCACCTCTCCTCACTTTAGAGATTTTTTTTATGCCCTAATTCTAGCCTAAATATGCAAGATTTGGGAGCAAAATGAAAACAGCCCGAATGGAATAAAACAGATCTCAATTGCTTGCTCATTTTTGAAGCCTGACTCCTGTTTTTTTATCCTTAGCAAGACACCAGTGGTCTCACTTATTTAGGGTCACATAGAATGCTGTCACCCCAGAGCTTCCCCTTGACCTCACTGGACTTTGGGCCAAATTCTTCCCATATCAAAGATGATACCCGCCCAGTGTACAGTTTTTATGAGATCTAATGTATTTCAAATCTTTGTGGGGCAGTTAGGATCCTGGAAATGACTAAGCTTCATTCACAAATGAAGACCATTTTCCTTTCCTTAAAAGTTCATTTTAATTACGTTCTTAGAGGGAAATATTAACAATTTTTGCCCTGATTTTCCTAATGTTAATGAGATGCTCTGCCTAATATAAAAATCCCCCTAAATTGTTAATTGAATCATTCTCATTTTATTTCTAAGACCATTCACACAAATAGCAGATGTAGGGATGTCTGAGAATTACAGTCGTGATTACAAGAAGCTGCTTAGATTCTGTTTAATATCAGAAAATGCATAAGGCTGGAAAATGCTACTGGATATCACAAAACAGAGAAAGTGACAGTTGTGTAGCGCTGAGCAAAAGGAAGAAAAAGCCCCTTAATCCAGAGCTCTCTCACTGCCTGCTTATTGTGGTAATAAAATAAAACCCTGGATGGAGGCATTTCTTAGCTTACCAATAAAAATGCTTTCCCAGCTTTCAAGTTAATTGAGAAAGAATCAGGGACCACTTGCTCAGATAGAGGCCCAGGGAATCATGGACGAAGTTGACATC